GTTTTAAGGAAATCGAGAGGACGCTAGGGGAGATGGTTCGGAGAGCTACGAAGTTGGCACACAAGGCGGGGAGGTTGCTCTTCAGGAGGAGACTTTATGAGGGAGGCAACATTAGATGGGTGGCCTAGATTCCTCCTAAAAGAGGATGACGGAAGTTCAACACATATGGGGCCATAAGAACAACTCCAGATTGGCTAATGTTAGCTGAAGGGCTTGCTAGAGACCATATTGGGCACGGGATATTGGGGTTCGCAATGAAAGTTAGGCAGACAAATAACTTAATAGCAGAGCTTTGGAGACTTCGAGTGGAACTTCACTTGGTCAAATACTGGGGGTGAGACAAAATGATGTTGAAACTGGACTCGAAGGCAGTAATCATGGCTATTCTCAAAGACCCAAAGAGAGACCTAGGGCTCCCAACTCTCATCATGAACTTTAAGAAACTTATTTCTCACACACTTTGAGGGAGGGGAATAAATGTACCAACTTGGGTTAAGCGGGAGACTCAGGACTGGAAGTTAAGTGGCACCACCAAACAACTAGGAGGAAATGCTTCAAGCCGATGCATAGAGAGTGACAAGACAAAGAGTGAATTGATCCAAATTTTATTACATTTTTTGCACCAAAATAAAAATTGTTAAAATATTTGAATTCAATAATATAATAGTAAAAATAGACAAATAATAATGAGTATTAAATCCTATGATACAAAAGTCAAAAACCAAATGAAACCTTATACGTAGTACAATTTTACTGTCTCAAAAACTATGCGGGTGAAATTTGGAAATCACGGCAAAGGTTGCTTTCTCGGCGAGGAGAGAAGAAAAACCCGGCGACGCAAACAAAGCAGTGGAATTACGCAAATGCCATCGGTTGTCACCTAACTCCGTCACTCTCATTCTTACGTTATTTATTTATAGTCTCCTCCCTCGCTGGCTCGCTCCCGAACTCCCGAAGAAAACTGCAATATACATACGTATTCGTATACCATATGCGATTTACATACATTTATACTTACTATATATAGTAATATATATTGATCAGCATTTCCGCTGGTTTTTTTAAAATCGAAATGCTTAATTCGGAGATTTGGTTTCGAAATCTGACTGCACTAGATTCCGGGGAAGTTGTATTCTCCAGTAACGATTCTTCGAATTCGATTGGACTGTTTAATGGAGGAGGGTTGTTTCTGGAGGATTCGGTTCCGGCATCGTTCGTATCGTCTATCACTAATCGGAGATATTCCGCGTCATCCTTGAGTACTGTTTCGTGTGCTGCTCGGAGTGATCGATGCAGATGGATCGGAGTGGAGGCTTCCCGGCGGGGCGGTGGAGGAATGTTCTTGTCTGTGACCCTGTCGGTTGGGGGAGGGAACGGAGGGATCGGTGAGGACTCGAACGAGATTTTGGAGCGGAGTGGGGAGAATGACGTGGCAAGTGAAGCGGAGTTGTTGCCGGAGATTGAGAATGAGAAGGTAGAGAAGCCGGGGGTTCGCAGTGGAAGTCAGCAGGCTTTGAACGTTACGAAGCATCTTTGGGCTGGAGCTGTTGCTGCCATGGTTTCAAGGTAATCATTTTCAAAAAGAATAGAAACAAAAGTATAAATAATTTTATTTATGATTTTACGGCTAAGTGATCGCACTAGGCCGCTACTATTGCAAATTCATATGCATTGGAAATTAACAATAATTGACGTTAAGATTTTTTGACATGAATCCTCTTCCATCACTTAAAAGAGATGCGTGAAATCTCACTTACTATTATAGATAAGGCCGCTTATTTTTCTGTTGTGATGATTTCAAGATTTAATCTGTTATCTCTCTTAATCAACTTATTGTTGATGTACCTCAAACTGCAAATTGTATAATGTATTCTGAGAAATGCAAATCAGTCTGAGTGCATCGGACTTTAATTTTCTCTGTGAATAAGGCTCACTTGATTGTTCAGAGTGGAATGTTATGAAGCAAGTTGGAAAAATTCTTCATCTCCAAGAATTTAATTAACTCGAGTAATTCTAACAAATTTTATTATATCCCTCTTTTCATCTGTTTGACTTTATTAAAGACTTGCTATGCTTAATGTTGACTTTGGACATTCCTTAAGCACTAACTCTGCTATGCTAACAAGTATACTGTATTTTGTAATGACTTTTTTGCCTATTCTTTGCATATAGTTCATAGAGCATATTATCTGGACAATTCTAAAGGACTTCATATTCTTGTGTTGGTTCAGAACATTTGTTGCACCACTGGAGAGACTGAAGTTGGAGTACATGGTTCGTGGTGAACAGAAGAACCTTTTGGAGCTTGTCAGGAAAATTGCAACCACGCAAGGGATCAAGGGATTTTGGAAAGGGAATTTTGTCAATATTTTGCGTACCGCTCCTTTTAAGGCTATAAACTTCTATGCTTACGAAAAATATAGAGATCAGTTGCTCAAAATATCTGGCAACGAAGAGGCAACTAACTTTGAGAGGTTTGTTGCTGGTGCAGCAGCTGGAATAACAGCTACTGTCCTCTGCATACCAATGGACACTGTGAGTAATATCTTAAGATTTAGTATGAATGATATTTCTGATTTTTTCTAGAGTAAAGGTTTCTAGTTACTCCGTAATTTTTAACACAATAAAAATTAGGATAATTTTTACCCTTCTCCAACAAGGGGGTAAAAATGACTAGGTTGGCTCAGATCCTTAGGCTTCCATAACCATTATGTAATACTTTCTGTGGGCAAAATAACTTTTATAACTGCAGACTTAGTTATTATTCATTGCCTAAATTCTTTCAAAGTACATTGAAAGTTTCTTTCCAGGGCACATCCTATAGAAAATTAATAAATCTGGTACATTTCTGTTGCATGCTGGTGCTTGTCATGATTGAAATATGGGGCTATCTTTTTGTCATATACTCATATGTTATCCTGTGGTGGAACCTCACTTTAGTTTCAATTGTTACTTTATTGTTATTTAGTTCAAAATTTGTCTCTGAGCTATGCATAATACTGTCCATTACACTTTGCTAGCCACCAGCCTGGGAAAAGTTGAGCAGCCATCTATAATGTTCTACTCAGCTAGTTTGGTACCATTTACTAGGACTTGATGTCATCATTTGATATCTTGTAGTGGAGCGGTTTTTGAAAACTACCAAGTATGCTTTAGAGTTTAGATCATCTTTTACTTCGCAAAGTGGGATTTTATTTTTCAAAGGACATAATAAAGTCTCTGGAATTTCAGCTGGAGACCAAGATCATGGCCTATTCGGTGTTTAAATATTTCTGATTTGGCTTATTGCTTAACTAATAGCACTTCATGCAAATGATAATCTATCATGAAGTAGTTCACCACTATAAAACATCTAATACTTTCAGATTCTTCCTTATACTGGTTTCTCCTTTCACTCTATCTTTTATTCAATTCAGATCAGGACAGTAATGGTAGCACCTGGAGGGGAAGCCTTAGGTGGCCTAACTGGTGCTTTCCGCCATATGATCCAGACTGAAGGGTTCTTCTCTCTTTACAAAGGGCTAGTTCCTTCTATCATAAGCATGGCACCCTCAGGTGCAGTTTTTTATGGTGTTTATGATATTTTGAAATCAGCTTATTTGCATTCACCAGAAGGGAGGAAGCGACTTCAAAATTTGAAGAAACAAGGTCAGGAACTAAATGCCTTGGAACAACTAGAGCTGGGTCCAATTAGAACATTGATCTATGGGGCCATTGCCGGTTGTTGTTCTGAAGCTGCAACATATCCCTTTGAAGTTGTAAGAAGACAACTTCAGATGCAGGTCCGGGCTACAAAGATGAGTGCACTGGCAACTTGTGCGAAGGTTGTTGAGCAAGGTGGCATTCCTGCACTTTATTCGGGACTGACTCCGAGCTTGTTGCAGGTAATCCATGACCTATATTACCAACTAATGCTTAACAAAATGTTGAAGCATTCAATTCCCATTTCACTAAGATCATTCTTTATTATTATTGATTTTTTGGAAGGATGAGCCATCATGTTGACTAATACTCTCACTGCCTTGTTATCCTTCAGGTTTTGCCATCAGCTGCTATAAGCTATCTTGTGTACGAGTTCATGAAGATAGTTCTCGAAGTGCAATAAGTTAAGAAAATTAAAAAAAAAAAAAAAGTTTCATCTTCCTAGGTTGGTGGGCATTTACTAACAAGTGGAGTTTAATGAAGGTTGTTTGCACTTGGTTATTGGAATCATACATCTGATTTTAGAGGCTTAAGAGATACTTACTGCAAGTTTTAACTGGGATTACGGAGACCCCTTTGCACCAAAGGGCTGAATTTATGTCCCTGATGATGTTCGAGTTGAGTTGTTTTGGTTTGGTTAGTGATATCTGATTTAGTTTTTTAACCCCACATAGATTGATAATGATCAGCCACATAGAAGGCTTTCAACAGCTGGGGCTTAGATATAATTTGTTTTCTTTGAGGTTCGTGTTATTTGCGAGATAACGGCATTGTAATATATAATTGCTGGGGTTACACTAGGAGCAAGAGAACTGAAAAACTTGTTAGTTGGGAATGAATAAAATGAGTTATTGTGGAATTTGAGTTCACTTTACCTATAATAATTCAATTGTTATACTATGGGCGAGAGTTTATATTTCATTGTGAACCCTGATACAAATTTTCTTTACCTTTCATTAACACATTCTGTACCTACCGTTAACAATTTTTGTATATTTAAACAAATAACATGATAACTATAGGTACAGAAATCATTAATTGCATGTACAGAATGTGTCAACTCCAAACACAGAATCTGACTTATAATTGCTAACACATAATATGATAGCTACAGGTACATACAAAATGTGAGGTTATTTTTGGACCAAGGTTTACAATGCAAGGTAGACCCTGATCCATGGTATAATTTGCCATAATAATCTGTGCATTAGCATTTAGCAGGAGTTAATTTCCAGTGATCTGCAGAAAATATGGAAAGAAAAATTGTGAAACAATCACAGCCCACAATAGCAGTGTAAGGAACTGCATAAAACAATGCATCTTTTTCCCCTTTTATTGTTGGAAAAGTAAAGTACGGTGGTCTTCCACCTCTGTACACGAAAACAACCTCGATGTATTCATCTCATCCCAGTACATAAATTAGAATAAATCACAGAGGGAGAATCAAAGGTATTATTATTAGACCATCCACATGAGAGGAATTGTGCACAAAATTGGAAGTCTGCTTATCTTTGTTAGCTTGTGGCGCCATTGCTGACTCTTTCATAAAACAGGATGTAACCGTGATCTGTGTTGCTGGAGTACTCCTGGGCTGATCCAAAGAAAGTCTGTACAGCAGATTCATCGATCATCTCCACATTCTCGTCGTCAAAGAACAACCAATGGTTGTGACTTTTGACGAGGCTGACGTAGTGTCCATGGTTAGGTCCACTACCAATATGGACTACCACTGCAAATAAAGAGTATTCAGTGTCTGCATCCTCAACTGTATTATTCAACTTCAGCTCCAGGGGGAAGACAACACGGTAAGATAACTTCTTATACCGCCCTAGTTGCTCTATATACTTGAATCGCTTCAAATGGATTACTAGGATATGAGGAGGCTTTTTAATCTTCATTCTCTTTTGGGCCTCTTGCAAACTGCAGTGTCAAAGGAGTATTAATTAGCCAATGCATTGGATCAGTTCAAAGTGGCATATGTTTCTGGAAAGAAACATAAATTACAGTTGTGTGTAATTTAAATATTCATGGTGACTTCATCAATGCAATTAAACTGACAAAATTACCTGCAACACTTGTCACAAAAGAACTTGTCTTCGGCATTCAGAGTCTCAGTAGAACTGAAATTCTTCAGGCAGCTTGTTATTGAACTGTTTTGTTCAATATCAATGCTCAAGTCAAAAAATGTTTCGTCCCTTGCTGTTACAGTCTCACAGCGAAGGCACCTTGTTTCATTCGTCAATATACCCTGATAATATGAGATTTGGTAAAGTTGTAGAAAAGAAATTGACTATTACTTATTCTAGTAGAAGCAAATCCATCATTGAATATCTCGTATTGCAGCTATTCCTTTCTTTGTCCTTTTCATTATCTGTGCTTGTGTGTGTGCCGTGTGGTCTTTCCATCTTTCTCTAGAAAAAGGTAAGAGTATGGGGGTTTTTACTTAGTGTGTCCCTTACTCCTTACCTCTACTTTCGAGATTCAAATGATGCTTTTCTTTGTGAAAGAAATAATATACACACAACAACATGCCCAGCAGCACAAAGAATACCAAAAAAAAAAAAAAAAAAAAAAAAAAACTACTCAATAAACATTCACTGCCTGAGGCTTAATCGAGAATTTCCAGCAATCGGGTAATGCAATCACAGTAAAATAAGTTTTCAAATGCCAAAAATATGAATACAAAAGAAACTGATAACAGGCCAAGTAACTCTACCTGGAAGTTTTTGTGAACCCAGGTGACAAGTGGCTTCTTTTGAGCACCATTGACAAGGACTGTCTTTGGTCCATTTGCAATCTTTTCGGTTGGCGATGAACTTTCTTGATCACCTTTCACAGCATTTGACTCTTTCTCCAGTATGTCAACAAGTTCATTCAGCAAATAGTTCAGGAATTCATGAGCATCCTACAAAAATAGATTTATAGACATGAGTGCAGTAATCTAGGATTGCTGGTTAAATTTGCATCACGCATGAGCCTCTATAGAGCACTAGAGCAGTGGGGTTGAGTACTTGAGTGTCACAAATGCCTTAAACTTACAAGGCAGAGAACCCAAGAATACCAACAAAGGATCAAGAGAATCTTGAAAACAAACTTCTTAGACTCCATTATATCTAAACAAATACAGAGTATATTGTAAATTCTAATAAGGCATGTATGTGAGTATGTCACCCCATCAGCAAAGAAAACTAGAATAAATAAACAAGCTAAACTAGTAGTTGAACCTCAAGGATTCAATACCCATTGCATCCAATATCAATAGGCACCTGTTGCTCTCCAACAGGTGCTCTAGAACAACTTTGCCCCTCACTCAATCCACTCTTAGCACTTCTGGCCCCATCCATATTCAATTTCAAGTTGCCTTCATTGAGTGGGAGTGTGGGACCCATGGAACCCACCTTGGTGCCAATTCTTTAACCACGTCTGTTTTAACTGTCTAACCAATCACCCAATTTTCAATCCCACTCGTTCTTTTAGTTATGTGCCTATATGTATGGAAGTTCAGTTACCTGGACTAAGACATACTGGCAAGAATTAATGTAGTGGAACCTCAGGAATCCCTTGTAAATGTTCATGCAATCACCGTGAAGCTCATAAATGATTCAATATAAGAGGGAAATATCACAATACTAGTCAACCAATTATGAGTCTAGACTTTGGGGCTAAATGATAATACACATTTGTTGAGGTAGTCAAATTAAATAGTTGGACAAGCGGTATACAAATTGTGAAACTCTTTAAATGGGAATAGGGGAGAGTTGATTAGGGGGTACTGCTTTATGTGTAACTGTTCTATATTAAATCACAGAAGACAATATAGATTTTGCATGCAAACCATAATCTTAAATCACAGAGCTCACATAACACCTGGTGCATATAACTGCGGAAAATTTCATTCTGCTTCTTCAGCTTCTGTACAAAGCGTTTTGGACCAACAACACCTGTTTTTTTCTTTTGCGAGCTAATCTGAAAAGAGAAGTAAAAAAGTTAACTGTTATACACCATGATACAAGTATTTATGTATTATAAGTAGGTTTACTTATATATTCAACAAATGCAAAATAATATAACTATTACAGAGTATCATACTTTTAAACTATAACTACCAACATGAACTAAAATTTATTTATTTTTTGATAAATTTGAATTAAAGTTATTTATTAACAGTCTGTAACACATCCTTTGTGGATCTAAAACTTGTGTTACAGTTAGCACGGTTCGGAGAGCACTTTTAGACTGCGCTGTACAGAATGATTTAAATCGAGAAGCAAATTTTCAGATCATTATGGTATGGGCACATATTTATGGAACTGCAGTCAATATGTCATCAGTACTCTCTTATGGTATGGGAACATATTTATGGAACTGAATGATAAACCAAATTTCTTGATCATATACAGAACATGGCACACACCCTGTCCTTGCCTCCTTGGATTCTTCTCTGGAATGTTATAACTTTTTCTTTACTGCTGTTCTAAAAATTAAAAAAAATAGAAACATTTCTAGTTTTAGTCCCCAAACTATAGTGGTATTTCACTTCAATATTCAACTATTTTAAATCAGACAGAATGGTCCTCAGTTAGGTTCCATAATCAGACTGAACTTTTGGGAGGGGTGTGGGGATGTGTGTAGGGGTTTTTTTTTTTTGGGGGGGGGGCGTGTTGGGAGGATATATCTAACTTTCAACACTTGGCTATCAGAAATTGGACAAAGTGGTCCCATCATCGTGGTCAATGATAGAGCCATAGCAGAGGAACTTTGTTGTCAACTTTTGGTAGTTAGGAAACCATACTTATCCAAATTGATAGTTGGATCCTACAAGTGAAATACTACTATAGTTTGGGAACAAAAACAGGATATATATATATATATATATATATATATATAATTCTGACAGACATCTTAAGTACCTGCATAAATAGGTCCGCCAAGCATGTCAAAAGATTTTCGTCAGCATCAGCAGGGGTTTTGTTATTAGAATAGTATTCCAAAAGCTGCTCCCTAAATGGAACACAGAAATAGAGAGCCTGCATGAAGAAATGGGCAATCATTTTTCAGTGGAGTATGGTGAAATGAAGCAGGATCATAGTTGACACATGCGTACACACACACACACACAATGGAAATCACTCAAACAAAGAGTAGTCAACAAGGAATTGTTTATAAGGCATCAGAAAAGTTAGATTATCCCCCTCCCCTTCCAACTGCCACCAATTCCTCTCCCTCTTCAAAAGCTATAATTAACATTTACCACTAGAAAGGCACATCCATCATAATGGACTACTATCAGTCTATCACATAGACATGTCAAGATTTCCTAATGGGTTATAGAAGGAAAACTTAAGCATGATTAAGTAAAAGAATAGAACTACAATAGCTCATGGTTGTATTTTAAAACCATCCTACACATTAACCCCTCATTTCACCATGTGGTCAACAAGTTCTATAACTTCATTCATGTGACACTTCCCTGGATCCCAAGCTCTTTCAGAGATATTTTTGAAGTAACCGTTAGATAAACATGCTCCACTGGAAATTAGAAGATACTACTCACAGCATCCCCCCTCAGACCCACCCGCCAACCAGAAAAACAAAATAAATAAATAAATAACCACATACTACTCAATAGAATATATGTTTTATGTTTATCTTCATGCCATATAGAATTGGGTTGGACTTTACACATGCTCTTCAGATATGATCTCCTCCTGCTAATTCTAAAATATAAAGGCAAAGCTCACGCCTCACATTGCGATCTCTTTCTCCCAACCAATAATATGATACAAGGAACCAACCAAGTTCAAGGTAATCAGTCGACAAGACTAGTAGCATCATTAAACATCTTAATCTCTCACTTCCAAATTAAAAATCCTATTTTCATTTTAACCTACCAATCTTCTTACCTAGCCTGAGCCCGACTGCCTGACAACCACTAGCATCTTATCACTCAACAAAGGCACCCATAGGCAAAAGGTCTACATTAAATGTACATGTCCAAGCCATCTAAATCTTTCATCTCTTAATATATCTTCAATATATGCAACTTCTACATTACATAGAAGTCATTTCTAATATGATCTTTCCATATGTTCCACAAATTCATCTTACCTACACTAAGACCAAATAAAGCAAGCTAGGGAATAAAGAAATGATAGAGTCTTTGTAAAACAGCATACTTTACTATATCAACAACCACTACTATACTTGATTACAAGAATTGACTAACTTGTAAGTGTCTTTGTTGGAGTTAGGGTTCACAACTCACAAGAATAGAGAAATTTGAGCTTTCTATCAAATAAAAAGGATCCATCCGTAGCTATACATTGTGATTATGATCTGCCAGTCATTTTTCTAAAATCTACATAAAAACACGTTCATTTACTTTTGATTCAGTTAATGTACAGAAAAAAGGTGCCAAATTCACATAAATAACGAGCAGTATCCATGGATGCAACCAATAAAAACGGCATCACTATCCATTGACGCAAAATCAAAATCAGTGTACTTCTGAAACTTTATTGAAGGAAAATCGAACCTGTAGCACGCTGTTGCAGTAGCAAGTATTCCCGAAATTCTCCAGACCGAAATATCTCTCGCCTTCTGGGAACTGGTCTCCAAGCGCCTTTTCGAGTTTCGAGCCGGCCGCCCCCATCTCAATTCATCCACGCCTCAATATCGCTATATATATGTTCGCGCGCGCGTATAGTATGTATCGGCTAGCGATTTTGCAGTGCTTAGAGGATTCCTATACCAGGAAGTTCATAGATACTGAGAAGTGAATCGAAAAGGTGAAACGAGGCTTCATCGACGGAGAAGAAGACTGAGAATACGGAAAAGAAAAAGAAAAACAATTTTTTTTGGTCCGAAAGACTTTGGTATCAATTTTTTTTTTTTTTTCTAATTCTAAAAGTATAACATAATCACGTTCATGACGTCTTCAGACTTCAATACATAATTCTCCCGATTTAACAAAGACCGACCTTACTAAAACGGATCAACTTTATTTCACTTTATATATATATATATATATATATATAACAACTTAAATAAGAATTTTGTATTTATACAATAATATATACAATGATAATTGTATTCGGAGTTATTGGTAACGATTTATAATGAATTTTGGACAATCAACGACAAGTCAACGTTATAGAAATATATATGAAGAATATAAGAACTTTGTATGGATGAATATTGCCAGTTCCCCTTTTCCTATGGAGGGAGTCTATTTATACATATTTTGGGCTTAGACCCTATAAAAAATAAGAGTTCTAGACGGCTTCATATCGGAAGTCTTAGTTACATAATGAGACCTAATTCTATTATACTAGAGATAATGAATCTAACTTCTAATTATATTGGAAATAATAATAGGCTCAATACTTGACAAACTCTTGGGTTGCTCTGTACGTCATTCTTGGGTTTCAACGATCCAGTTGTTCTTTTTGGGCCGGCCTATATGGCCTAGGCATAGTATATTCGCAAATTATGCCGTGCAACCTTGTGCACCATGTATGATGCACACGGTTGCAAAACGACGTCGTTTTGATTAAAAATTACGCGCCTAACTAAAAAAAAAAATTATTGTTGGTTGTCGTTAACGGCGTTATGCCGTGCATAATTTGAATTATATATCCAGAATTAGTGAACTATATATACAGAATGAATGAACTATATATACAGAATGAATGAACTATATATACAGAAGGAATGAACTATATATCCATAATGAATGAACTATATATCCAGAAAGAATGAACTATATATCCAGAATTAAAGAACTATATATACAGAATGAATTAACTATATATCCATAATGAATTAACTATATATCCCGAATGAATTAACTATATATCCAGAATGAATGAACTATATATTCAGAATCGATAAGGTCAGTTATGGATGTGTAATTATTAATTTCTGAATGTACTGTTGTCAAATTATGAATATATAGTTATGTAATTCTAGATATATAGTTATGTAATTCGGGATATATAGTTATGAAGTTATGGATATATCATATTGTTTGAATACGAAAGGAAACCGCCTAACGTCGTTAACGGCAATCCGAACGGATTTCTTTAAAAAAAAAAAAAAAAATGAAACGGCGTCGTTTTGCAACCGTGTGCCATGCATGGTGCACACGGTTGCACAGCATAACGATTGTAGTATATTATCCATCATCCAGTCCTCCACTTTCTTGAGATTTCGCGATTTCGATATCTCAATAAAGTATTTTGAATTATTCTCTAGTTTGCTAACAACAACAACAATAATAATAATAAACATGTAATAATTTCTCAACAATCTGAAAATGACGATAAGTAAACTCGTGATGGATCATGAATCGGAAATAATTCGAAGTATCAATAATCTTTTCTTTTTATTTCTAATATATATATATTGAGTTGATGGAGAGTGACCAGTGGACTCTTGCCGCCAGTGTTGTGCGATCGATCTATGTTGATTGCGGTTGGCCGACCGATCGGTCAGAGCCTCCAACCTAACCTCTTCTCTCTTTAGGCCATTTGGTGGTACTGCTACTTTTTTGCTTGGCATCTCTTAGTTAGTCTCTTTCAAGCTAACTATTTATTTGTTGCTTTTTCCAGGTACACGCTATGCTCAGGGTACTCTATTCGCCTGTCTAGGTCACAGTCTATTTCTGACACTTCTTTCTCCAGGTTCCGAACTGTCGCAGTGCTTGAGTGAAAGGTGAACTATGAATATCTGGATTCAACCATCAACCTCCCGATGCTGGCTAATCTTTGCTAGTGCCGATGTGTTTTTGGGTGGTCGGATAGTATAGGTCCATGGGCTAATGACTTTGGTTGCTAGGATGTGGCCGAGCAAGGGGATGCTTTCAATTGCGGTCTTGTTTTCTAGATGACATGTATCTTTTTTTTTTTTGTTTTGTTTTTTGGCTTGTATGTTTTGGATTATCGACGGTTGAGGACTTCGACATTCTACTTTTTCATCTTTATGCTATGTGCATGTTTTGTTTTGTGTACGTTGATTCCAGCTTTATCCCGTTTCATCCCTCTAGTATGTCCATCTGCCAAATACTTTTGAGAACGTCTTCTGTTCCTAGTCAGTGTGCTTATCAACCGCAATTTTTTTAAATAACATTTCCTGTTCTCAGCCAGTACGCCAATTCGCTAAAGATTTTTGAGAACGTCGTCCGTTTTCAGCCAGTATGCCCATCCACCAAATATTTTCGAGAACGTCGCTCGTTCTCAGCCAGTATGTCCATCTGCCAAATATTTTTCAGAACATCGCCCGTTCTCAGCCAGTATACCCATTCGCCAAATATTTTTTGAGAACGTTTTCCGTTCTCAGTCAGTATGCATCATCCGCCAATGGCTTTTGAGAACATCACCCGTTCTCTGGCAGTATACCCATTCACAAATGATTTTTGAGAACGTCGCTCGTTCTCAGCCAGTATATCCATTCGCCAAATATTTTTTGAAAATGTCTCCCGTTCTAAGTCAGTATGCCCATTCGCCAATGGCTTTTGAGAACATCACCCGTTCTTTGACAGTATACCCATTCACAAATGATTTTTGAGAACGTCGCCCGTTCTCAGTTAGTATACCCATCCGCCAAATATTTTTTGAGAACGTCTCCCGTTCTCAGTCAGTATGCCTATCTGAGGCTATCTATCTAGTACGATTGATAAAGTCATTTGGTAAAATGGTGTAAGTCATGATTTAGGTAGGATCTGGCCTCACATATTAGGAGGTGTTCTATCTCCAACTACAATATCAAATTCTTATGTGTCTTTGTTTATTGTTTTATTTCTGATGGGAAAACCCTTGAACTGTACCCCACTCTATGTGCTCAGTATTCCCACATGGGTCTAGAAGTCTCGTTTTCTAACCTGGACTGACCCCTAACGGATCAGAACCGACTCGAATAAACGTCAAAAACAGTTGCAAGGACTTCTTAGTTATTTATCGCGCGCTCGGAACTCAAGAACCTACCTCATACATTCGGATGGATTACCCCGAGCCCATAGCCTTCACGATTCAAAGAATTAACCTAAACCAACCACCTCGCCCGATCACATCCCAATAATACAGTGGTCAGGATCTTAACACACATGAACAAATTGAGACTGCTCCATTCGAGGCCGGTGCATGCAGGACGCGTGGCCAACATGACGAGTTATTGGCATCTGTCCCCTTCAACCCTCTATATAAGGCGCATTTAATGCCTTGAGGATGGACTTTTGGATTTTCTCACTGACAATACATCTTAGCTCGAGAATGTCCGACCCACTGTCTAAGTTACTCGAGCTCATGCACATACTTCGTAGACTATACGTAGGCGTATTTAGAAACCCCAGTGTATTTGTCACATCAATATCATATTGAACTCCTAAATTAATGTCTCTCCTAAGTGTTCGATTTACGGGTTATTAGTTCTTGCATTATAAACTCTCATATGTACTACAAAACATGTTCTATTATATAGGTTAACTCTTTAAACTTGTATAATCCCTGTGTTATTTAGATGGATGCTAGTGTGTTAGATGTTGCCACATGCCAACTTCTATAGTTGCAGTCAAAAGAAAGAAAAAAAAAATGATCCAAGGTTGACTTTCAGGCATCATGTTGCTAAAATGTTGATCTGATCTGGTCTAGCAGAAGATTAAGTCAAAAGATTCTGTTGACAGATGGAGGATTCATGAGTATGTGGGGGAGGGAAAATCTGATTTATGTGTTTGATTGGTGCTGTAGTTTGGTCTGGCAAAATTGTCAAAAGTTTGGGCTGTCAATGAGAAACTATTCTGCTTCTACACCAACCTAAACATCTGACCTGTTTATGTGGGATTTGGTACCCAAGAAATAGTCTACTAACTCTCTGGCACACAGCAGATATTTAACCAGCAAAACAGCTGTGATTCATGTGGTGTGTTTGACTTCATCTTTTGAGACATCTTTTATACTTACATAAGTGTTTCTTTTAATGGATGATAACTGAATCCTCTGCATTTGTTCTTCTGGCATTATACAAGGATGCCTGAAATTCGATGAATTTACAAAAGGTATGTTTTTCCATTCCATTCCATTCTCATCTTTCCTTCAATTCAATAAGTTGGTGTTTTGCAGTGAACACTGAAGAATTGAGTGTATGCAATCAATGCCTTTGATTGCCTGCATTTTCCTTGCTTCAATAGGTTGAATCTTCAACCTCAAAAGCTCACCACACTCTAACCTGATAAAATATTTAGGAGAGTATAAATCACGGTAATTCGATAGCTCAGTAAATTAAACTGGGCCAAATTACTGGTGCACACAAGAATATGTTCACTTTGGACATAATTCTCATTCTGCCTAAGTGGTAGGAAAGTTGCTGACATCATTCTATGTTTCACTAAGAGCATCCACTAGAGATTTTGGTGTGATTTTTGAGGGGTTTTTTACTGAAGTGGAGGAGAGAGAGGGTTTTGAGTTCTCCTCCAAGCACTTGGTTTTTCATTGGTGCAGTGGGTTCCCCTAAATATGAAAAAGAAACTTTATTGTTCGCGTGAGGCACACAACAGGCGCGCAAAACCTTTTTTTTGCCTGACAATTGTTTTGTTTTTTTTTTTTTTTTGCTTTTGTTTTCTTTTTCATTTTTCCGACAAAAACTCCTCAAAATCTATGCGTACTAAGGATGCTCTAAAAACCATTTCAAATTTCCAACCACAAACTTTTCACTGTGAGCTACTGTTTATGGCAGCACATGGATCATACTTCAAATTGCAATTATATGTTGGGATGATCCAAGGAAGAAAGGCACAATTCAAAAACCTTTTCACTTGAGCTAAAACTTTTAATGAAGATGAATCTTTTGAATCACATTGTTATGCCAGGTAAGTGTTTCAAAACCCTTCTTAG